TTGAGCTGCTGCTTCTACAGGGGGTCACCCAGAGGCTGCCATGGGCAGGAACTGATGCTGCAGTTCTCCCAGTACTCAGACGACGTCTTCACCATCTGAACTAGAAAAGCAAAACAAGTCCAAGAGGAGGATCAGTAGTATGATCCCGATTCTGCCATTAGAGATCTCAAGACCAGTCAACTCTAATCCAGTGCAAAGGTCTAATGAGATACAATGAAAATCAAAGTCAAACAAGAGTCACACTGCCAACAATGTGACTAATTTAACCAGAGTTCTAGTGAAACCCCCAACACTTCAGAGGAAGAGCTCTCCAAGAAACCATGCAATTCAAATGGAAACATTACTCCTGATGAGGGAATTGCTGGCTGCAGTCTTTGACCCATCTTAAGCCTGACACCCGGATGGAATAATGTAGAGTCCCCTTCCTTTCCATGAGGCTCACCAGTCCTTTCAGTCAGACCTAGCATGTTCCCTACCACTCCCAGTTTCCAATTCTCTGCGTATTTAGTTTTCAGATTTTACATAATATATTTTGCGTGTGGCACAGTAGATCACTTACCCTTCTCCTACCAGCCCTCTCTGTTTAATTACAGTTTAATGTGAATTGATCTTTACATTAATGAGCCTGTAAAGAAGATTGATTTCCTTCAAGAGACTTTCATGCTCAGTTTGGCAGCAGAGTGGTCCTATTGATTTCGCTTTCCTCAGTAAATACACTGCAGAATGTCACTGCATCCTCTGTGAATCAGCTAATCCTATTTCACACTCTTTTGCTCCAAAAATCCCTATTCTGATTTTCTTGTTATCTGTGCTTATTCAGAGCAAGATCACGGGGCCACAGCATCTCGAACAGCTTTGACTGTTGCTAACACACAGCTGACTGCCACAGGTCACCATGCCCTTTGTTCCTAAATGGCTGGGGGATTAAAAGACTTACAGTGAAATAAATGAAAGTAATTTTAAAGTGTTTAATTTGTTAACTTCCTTAATTTCTAGCCAGTTAGGGATGTGGCATGGAGAGTGCTATGTTTACCATGCCTGCTTTAAGGGTCTGGTTCGCAGGCTCTCCACCGAACTCTTCAGCTGTGTAACAGCCTGTGCTGGTGTGCCGGCCTCTGTGGATGCTGACTGCACCGGGCTGGCCACCTTGGCCAGGGCAGAGGGCAAAGATCCACCTCCATCATCCTGAGCAGACATCCCAAAAGCCCTCCAGGATGCCTTTACCCACATGCAGGTAGGTGAAGCAGTGTCAGCCAGGCCCCAGGCTATGGGATGAGCTTGTGCCTACACAGGGATTTGCGGGAAGCCCAAGGTAACAGTCCAATGCAGAGCTGATCACAGCTCAGGTCCTCCTCTTATCTGTCATGCCAGCAACGCTAACAGACTCTCCATGCAAGCTACTGATGAAGGTGGATAGAAACAGACTCAGTTCTGCTGCAGATAAGTGTTTTCTTCCATCCTGCCCTTCCCCACCAGATCAGGTATGCATCTGAGAGCCTACAGAGTTAACACACTTGAGTTGCAGCAGAACACTGGGAAGGGAAATCCTCAGCCAAGAGCATGTCAGAGAAAACATCCTGCCATCAACTCCCAAATGTCCAAGTCTAGGAACTGTAGCTAAATTACAAATGCTGTGGGAATTTCAGGCAAGATTCTCCTTCTCAACGACTCCGATGTAATTTCGGACCGAATCCAGATTCAGTCTCTCCCCCTCCCAGCTGAATTTCCTGGCTTTTGTTTGCCTTAACAGATGTTTGCATTTAATGTCTGTCTTTATTTGGTAACACGTACACAGATTTCCCCCACCCCCCCACCCCATTCTATTAAAAGCCTTATCAAGTCCCTTATGTTTGCTCTTGTTGAGATAAACAACTTTGGCAGTATTTTCAACGTGCAGGGCAAATAAACTGACTCTTCAAGGAATAATTAAACCAAACTAAACTTCATGGTAGTATATTAGGGCGTAACATGTTTGACACATATGTTATGCCTGCATCCCTCTGCAGCCTGAAACATCCCAAATTTAGCAGAAAGCCTTGAGAATTCTCTCTCCAACAGATTCCCACACGCTGACATGTACATAAACTGGCCCACAGTCCACACGCACGTGGGGTCAAGCAAGGTTTGGGTGATGGAGACAGGTACGGGAAACTCCCAACGTGGGGAATGCAAAGCGATCAAGCTCATTAAAAAACCTTTATGGAAAAATCTGCGTATACTGCCAAGATCAGATTTCTTTCTGCCAGCACCAAAAGGAGAGAAAGTCTTTTCCCCGCTTCCCTACCCCAGGAAGAGTAGGAGATGAAGTAATTAATTCAAAAGGACTGTTTTGAGTGACAAACATGCAACCCTTACTTTTGTAATACATTCACAGCCCTTTGGAAATACTTAACCACATGCAATATACAAAACCTACTTCAGAGGTTCGTGAGGTAAACACACTTCACACATTTCTAAACACTGAAAAAAAAAGGGAAATGTGTTTATTTTTCTTTAGCAGTAAGAATACACTGTAACACTATATACTTAAACACAAACCAGTTTCTCAGTACACAGTCTTCATTATGAGTACTCACCCTGGGTTTGGTTTGGCAGTCTCCCCAATTATTACTTCACAGATTTGAAGGCCAGAAGAAACCAGTATGACCGTATAATCTGATTCCTTACATCGCACAAGGCCAAAGAACTTTACCCAACGATTTGCATATCTAGCCTATTAACCTAGAGTTGAACTAAAGGACCATCTTTTAGGAAGCCATCCAATTGATTTAAAGACTCCCGAGGATGGAGAAAGCTTCACTTCCTCAGCAAATCATTCCAATGGGAGAGTAAGTCAGCAACATCGATTAAAGTAGGTACTTTAAAACATCTTTCAGATTATTGTTACCTCTGATAAAAATGAAAAGGAAACATAAGAAGAAAGTGGCATTCTCTCAAACAAGCTCAACAAAGAGATCCTTCTTGCAGAGGTATGACTGCAGCATTACAAATCCCACTCTCAGAGTTATTTATGTGTAGCAGCTGAGGAAAGCAATACAGATTTCTGGAAAGTGATACTAAGCAGGTCTGTTTAGAATACCGTCCTTTTATCATTTGGCTTTGTACCTTCGCCTTCCTTCTGCACCACTCTGAACTTTCAGAGGAGCTGTAAATCTACTGCCTTCCACCGGTCATTATTCCTCCTTTCCAAACTGCTTATTTCATTTCGGGAATAAAAAAAGCCAAAGCTCTAGCAATCTGGTCCTTAGCCAATGGCTAAATTAATAGCAAAAATAACAACAGGGGCTCATGAAACTCTGATCATTTATAGACTTCATGAGAAAAAAAATTATTTGAGGGGGCTAGAACTATATCCTAGATGGTAAATTGTATGCAAGCTTTCCACCCGTAAATTGGGAGTTTTTTTGCATCCCACTGTGTAACACACTGGGCTGCGCAGCAGCCTGGTAAGCTCAGTTCAAGTGGAAGGCAGATGGCCTCGTGTCAGGGCATCGTGCCTTAAACAGGGGACACTGCCTGGCCTGAGTCACCGTCCCGCTCCGCAGCCAGCAGCCCCCAGAACGCGCATCCAGACTTCACACGCGGTCAGGCAAGCAGGGAGAGGCTGCAGCAGGAGGCAGAAATCAAACAAGATGGTTTCACACCAACTGCACGCGACCCAGTTGACAGGTCTGATAACTGCTGGGACACAAGCCACCCCTCCACCTAGGAGGTGAAGTGGTTACTTATGCATTTAACAGAGAGACTTGCTAGATCCAGCACTGCTGATAGAGGAGCGCTTTGGCTCTTCGTAAGCTCTGCAGGAACACATTATACCCAAGAACCAGATCAAAGGCGCCGTATCTCAAACAATAGCTAAACGCACTTCATGGCAGGAGTGAGATATGGACACCAGTTTGAAGCTAAGATCCCTAAACTGAATTAAGACAGTGAGGGAGTTGTTCTTCTTTGCATATTTTAACACTACCTAATGGAAATGCGGGAACAGTGCCAGTTCATTTCACTCAATTCTGTCCTTGAGTTAAGTAATAGGAACATACTCTCAGTCAACAAATCAGGTTGTCTTGAAATAAGTTGGAGCCTCTTGAGCATGAGAGACCAATCACCTGGTGGTATGGACATTTTCCACTACAAGGAAAAGCAAATCCACGGCAAATACGGACACCTGCCTGCAGGTGTATGCTACAAGGCCATGCATGCTGGAAGCTATCACTTCAACTGCTGAAGCCCACATTAGCTATAACCACTTCCCCTTCCCAGGAACCTGGGAGCTATCATGCATACCCCAGCAAAATTCCTTCTCAGAGTGCATTACAAGCAGACACATGCAAAAATAATTTTGGAAATCCACACTCGTAAGGTACTAAGTACTTTGATGATATAATGTCTTTATTCCCTTCAGCAGCGTCCCCAACCCGAGACCCTCAGTGCCAGACAGACAAGGGTTCTCAGGTGTCTAACACTTCTGCAGGCACCTGAACCACCAACGTTACGAACTTCAAAGCTTCTGCAAATCTAGCCTTACAATCACCAATCACTCTCTCAAAAGAAAAAAAAAAAAGTTGAAAGAGACCATAAAAATGGGTCTGGAATGAGTTCCCGTAAAGATGTGAATAGTCTCTGGCTTTGAGAGAAAAGTAGTAATGATCAGAACAGGGCCAGGGAAAAAGAACAATAAAGATAATGTTATATACTCATTTAATAGCCCAAGTATGACATAATGGCTGAAACCCAAAAGACAGCTGAGAAAAAAATCATTTTACACCATATGCAACTAACCTGTGGAGTTTACAGACATAAGTTACCACTGACCATAAGCACATTAATTGAGCCCAACCTCACCCAAGTCACACGACTTAATTAAGATGCCAACAAGCCCAATAATGAAACCTGAAGAGTCAGCAGAAGTGGGTGTGACACACATGAAACTGTCAGTAACAGCTACACCTACCCCACCAACAGCCCAAAGTCAAAAGCCGAAAGAGGCAGCAGTGACTTACAGGAGGAGGGAGCGGACGCTGGAAGCAGCAGGTCCCAGGGAGGGAATGGCAGTCAGCTCGTTGTTGTTCAGTTGCCTGCAAACAGAAATCAATTGTTGAAGCAAGCAGTATGTGGAAGCAAGGGACAGCCATGGCACTTCATCCGTCCTCCCCAACTCTTTGGGAGCACTGGCATTCTGGCAGAGGCCTCCACCTCAAATGGCTTGTCTGGGCATCCCTGAGGGTCCCACCTTATCCTCCCAATCCTTTAACAAACAAGAGCCACCATAAATGGCCCCTCAGTGTGTCCTTTACAAAAGCAAGGCTTTTTTAGCCCTTCCACCCACTCCCTTAAGCAAAGTCAAGTGCCACAGCCCTCCATCAGCCTGAATTCCCACACTGATCACAGAGCTGACCCCGAGACAGGAGACTTTGGACCTACAGCCCCTCAGAATGATGAATTTAACACCCTTCCCAAGCAGCAGACCCCGCTTGTCCCCCCAGGCCAGGGCACAGGGGCCACGGCAGTGGGGAATGGCAGCCTCAGGCCTCCCCTCCACACCAGGCCAAGCTCTGGAAATCCCCAGCCCCACAAAGCCAGCAACACAGAGACAAAACCACCAGCGTTGGGCTGAGTAATGGCACCAAACCCAGGTGACCAGCTCCAGCCGGGGAGCACCACGCAGCCCCCCGGGGCTAATGGCAATTGCAGACGGGCCCGCTCCTGGAAAGGCGGGGACAAAAATGTCCCCTTCAGTGGCCTGACGTGTTTGAAGTGTTTCTCTGACTGAAAACAGATCCTCGCCATGTGACCGGCTCTTCCTTGGTTTAAAGAGCCCTTGTTTGTATGGTGAATTAGTCAATTAATTACTGTAACAGTCGCTTGTCTGGCTGCTTGAAAATTACCTAATTTCTTAGCCATCTTGCCCGCTTCCCCACCGCCGCATGCTGAAGCAATTAAAGCTGAGCCGGGCAGCACACGGCGGCTCCCCGGGACCCCCAGCCACCTCCCATCGGCTGTTGCTTGAGGCAGGGCCTCGTCTCAAACCCTGCTCCCCTTCTGCAGGGGCTCTGCAAGGGGATCTCAGAAAGATGGCAATCTGAAAAGCAGAGCATCCCAGAGCAGGCAGGGGAGCACGGCACAGCCAAGGCGTGCTAAGCCATGGGCATGAGTTGGGGCCATCCTAAATAATGGTGGTTTGGGGTTTTTTTCTTTCCTTTAAAACTATTCTTGGCAGGTGGGAGAGTGCAGGGATACATCCATCCCAGAACTTCCTTCTGACTCCTCCAAGAGCAGGCAAGATATTTGATTTCATGAGGAGTTCCAGGCACTGCAGGGATAAAAGCTTTCCCCTCAGCTTCATCCGCCTCTGACATTATACCCATACCTTAAAACGTAAGGGGAAAGCAAGCCAGATGCATTGCAATTCAGCAAGGAACTCCACTTTGCAACTAAAAGCTCATTGTTGCTCATATTATAGCACAGATCAGAGCTTTCAGAGGTACAAAGCAAGCTGGAAAGAGCATTAAAATGCTTATATTTGTGCCATGTTCTCATTAACATCCAACTGAGCATCTTTTTGAAAGGCATGGGAGGAGAGTTAGGCCCACCCTCCACCAGCCTGGGTCAGCTCTGGTTAAGTGGCTCCAACACCCAGTGTCTAACAACTGGTCCAATCCTCCTCCAACCTGAGATTTTCATATATCAGCCTCTGTGAGGTGAGAAGTCAGCCAGAAGTGGTTCTCCCACCTCATTTTCTCTCTTGGCTCATTGGCACCAGTTGCTGATGCAGAGAAGACAGCCAAGCTCAGTATTTGTCTGGGATTTCCCTCTCATCTTCCCCTCCTCCACGTAAAGGAACAAAAAAAAAAGTAAAAAACAAAACAAAACACAACAGCCAGGCTCAACAAATTTAAACTTTGTCTCCTTTCTCCTCCCCAGCCCTCGCCTTCGGCAACACAGACCTGCTGCCTCTGGATGCTAAGGCAAGGGAGGAGAGGGGCCACCCGCATAAAATATTTACGGTCCAATTGCCAGGCTGGTGTCAAGCTGAAATGGAGCCTGCTCAAAAATAGCACAGCTCTCCAGAGCTTTCGGTGAAAGGCACTTTAGAAAATAAAAGGTGAGTTGTTTAGAGAGCAATTTTAGCACGGTTACTACTTCTTTGTTACAAATCCACTTGGAAAACCTGAGCGTGGTTCAGCCATCACTTTCATGGATCCCAGGATCCATATGACCCAAGGAAACCCCAAAAAGGGCCACAAAGCCTATCCCACAGCAGCACCCTCCACTACCCCCATACCAGAACGGATTGGCCCCACAGGGGTGTCATTAGGGGGAGCCTCCAAAGGGGATGAGAGAAAGCATAGGTGTCCTGAAGGAGGAAAATGTCACACCCAAGCCCCTTCCATCTGAGCCTCCACCAGCACAAAGCGACTTGTTTGAGAGCATGTGGGATCATGGCGTTTCACACCACTTTGAGCCACTAAATTTCATCCCACACAGACTTAAAACTTCTCAGGAAAAAAGCTTCTTAAAAAAACCCCACCAAACTGCTGCCTAAACCCAGGGAAAGGGAAAAAGCAGGGTAAATACAGCTACTGCTTTATTAGAATCTCTGTAAAGCAAAACAGCATCCAAGCTATGAAGTTTAAATCTTTTGGTTTGCAGACATTTTCTTAAAATCAAGGGAAAACAAAGGTTTGCAAAATACATCGCAACAATTACTCACATACAGACACACGGAGAGCCCTGAGCCTCATCTGTGCTCAGGAACCACAGGCACCGTGTCTGAAGCATCATGGGAGGTTTCAGGTCTTATCAATGCACCTATTATTTGGGGCAATCTCTCTCCCCGAGGCTGACTTGGTTTGCCCAGCACAGCGCGCACAGCAAAACACTGACTTGCTCTCAAGACATGCCACGGCATGATGCTTATTTCATGAATGTTTGTAAAGTGCTTAAAAAAACCTCAGAAAGGAGATGCTCTGGCAGTACAGATGTGGTTCTCTTTGTGAAATGCAGTTTATTTCAGTGGTCTGTGGTTTAGCTGTTATTCAAAAGCAACCAAGATTGGTAGATAGGACTTTTAATAGAGCTTCTCCCTCACACTTTCCAGAGCCTGCCTTCCAGGCTCTGCTCCAGACCTCTGCCTCCCTTACAGTCTCCTATTTCTGACTGCTCCCTTTCCCTCCTACTCGC